TCCAAACCCCAAAAAAACCTGGGATCTGTTACGGTGGCGTGACCTTGTTGTTGTTGTTGTCATTATTATCGTTATTGCTATTCTTGCTGTTGTTATTTTTATATTTGTTTGTTCGCTCTTTATGAGGGGGCGGTGCATAGGGGAGGGGATTCTCGGATCCGGACTTTCCGGGCATCATCATCATCATCATCATCGGCAGCAGCAGCAGCAGCATCAGCAGCACCATCATCAACATCATCATCATCATCATCATCCTCGTCGTCGACGTCGTCCTCGTCGTCGTCATGGTCGCTATTCATGATCACTACCATCGTTTCAGATCATCTTCAGCATCATCATCACATAAGTGTTGATCGTCCTCATCCTCGCCAGCATCATCGTCACTGTTTTCGTTCATCTTGGTCAGCATCTTCGGGTATATAGGAGTTCTATCGTGCATCAGCTGGACAAGCATGTGCGAATCTGTCCTCAAGTTTACCAACGGGGCGATCAGAAGTTTGCCCGTCATGGCCTCATGGGCGAGACGGGAGGCGCGGCTCGCGCTTGATTGCATGTATCTTGGGGGTTTAGCGTCCTTAAACCAATAGTTTCAATATTTAACAAGAGCAGATAGTTGTTACGCATGTAAGCTAAAGTATTCTTGTCAAAGGCTCTTTCATGATTCCTCAATCTTCAGTCGGTTCAGACTGAATACAGTATGCCAGTGCCCTGCAAACGGATGGCCTGCGCTTTCAGAGAGTGCTGCTGAAGCTGAGGCATGCTGAGGCTTTCTCACAACCCTCCATTCTAGTCTTATGGCCTTCCAGAAACTTTTTGGAAAGTTGTCGACTGAACCTCCTCGTCATTGCCATCAACATGTCGTCATCATCATCATCATCATCAGCATCAGCATTTTCATCCTCATCATCATGGTGGTCGTCCTTATCGTCATCACCACTGCCAGAATCAATACCACAAGCACTCACGTCAAAACCATGGTCAGGATCGGAAGGATACTCAGAATCATAGTCGTCAGCATTCTTGTCATCATGTTCACCTCCAGCCGCACAAACAGCTTCACAAGCATCGCCATAATAATCAGCATCATTGTCGTCGCCAATGTCACATCATTATCTCTTAACCATACGCATACTCTCATACTATCTTTGTCCCCATCGCCATCACCATCATCATCATCATCGTCATCGTCATCACCATCATCATCATGGTTATTGACATCATCACCATCGTCATCGTCATCATCATCGCCATCGTCACCGTTGTCGTTATCGTCATCGCCATAGTCATCATCATCATCATCATCATCGTCATCATCACCATCATCATCTTCATCACCAACATCATAATGATGGTACGGGCGCCCAGGGAAAACTGCTTCAGCTCGGAGTCGAAGCTAAATCATGCAGTGCTTTGCTGCTGTGTGCTGGCATCTGCGCCCGAAGAAGACATCGAGGCTGCAGCCCAAGATGCTGCAGCGTGTTGTAGCGATTTGCAGCTCCTGTCCGTGTAGCACGGTGCAGCTGATGAGCAGCGGTCTCTCCGGACTTGGTGCAGGAAGGCCATGGCAAGCTCGAGGAAACTGCTCTGCTCGAAGCTGCTCTCGATGCCTCAGCCCAAGATGATGTAGCATGCTAGGAGAGGCCACGACAAGACTGTGTGAGCATCCCGACCACAACCGCAGCCATAACCACAGCCACAACCACCAGTCAACAGTCAACCATCAACAGTCAACAGTCAACAGTAAGCAGGCGACAGTCAACAGTCGACACTCGACATCGACAATCGACCAAGAGCCAGAGCAAGAGCCACGGCAACAGCCGCAGCAAGAGCCTTATAGGGCTATAGGGGAAAACATTATCGTGATTTTTGGTTGTCCTTTTTGTGACGGTTTTCCTGCGTTGCTTCATCGTCCGGCCTTGCACGAATTGCATGGTAGCCCGAGGAAAAGTGGGTGGTTTGTGCACAAAGTGCTGAAAATCATTGCTGTTGGCAATTCTTGCGGAGCAGCCGTGTAGCCGATGTGAAAGGATCGCCACCGCCGGGATTTGCACGGCAAACTCTGTGGTACGCGGGTGGGGCATCTCTGCGGTGGGCTTGGGTCATGATGGTGCGTGGACTACTTTGGCACCAAGCCGGGACTCCTGGGAAGGGCGAAGCAAACCGTCGCGCGAACTGAGCAGCATTTGGAGTTTACTAGTGGGGACGTTCGCTTTAGCTTGCTTCTTCGGTTACAATAAACATTTTGAAGCGCGTTCTTCACAGTCGTAACGGCAGTAAAAAGAGGTCGCATGCTGACCTCTGGTTTGGGTCAAATCTGACTTGCAGCGAATATCAAGCTCGTTTCGGGGATGCCCTGGACTGGACACACATTGCAACACACATGGCAGCCGTAGTGCCGGAAAGATCATAGCATCGCAAGTTTCGCTTCAGATGCATTCGGTTTATCGCGATCGCGAGTACGTCATTTATCATTGCCGAAGTTTTTGATTCCCCAGGTCCGAAGTATTCTCGCTGTTGTACAACTCCGCGAAAGAAAATTTGGTCCCAAGGAGGTGACACGACACCTTTTCGACCAGGGGCCCGAACAACTTGTGAACAGCGGCTTTATTCAGCGGTGTCGCGATGAGACACGCTCACGCACACACGATCACACTATCTGCGTCCTTGCAAATACACACCGCCACGGCGTACCAGGCTCTTTAACGTACCGTCGTAAAGCAAACCATAAGGCTTGCTTACCCAGTTACCAAGAGCCCAGAAGAAGCTTCCCTAGGTCACGCAGGTCCTCGACGTGACAATCGCTGTAGGACAGACATGTCCTCTGCTGCATCGGCTGTGTGTGTGTGTCATGTCCTGTTTGTCGCTTCATGTATAGGTTGCTGACCCATCCGAAACTCCTTAGCCAATGTTCATTCTCGCAGCAGGGCAGCGGCAATTGAACAGATGAAGGCAACAGTTAGGAAACCCACAACACAGATTTCATTGCTCATTCATTGCTCATGATGTGCAGAAGGAGCAGAATCAGCAGTGTGTATATATATATATATATGTATATACACATGTATTGTATACTGTATATTCTATATCTTGCAGCGTGCAGAAGACCATCCAAAACACACCAGCTCTTACGAGTATTTCCCTGAGAAAGTTGCAGATTTCGTCCGTTCCTGTAGTTGTAGTAGTAGTAGTAGTAGTAGCAGCAGCAGCAAGCTCACATTGCAAGTGTCTGGACAATGCAACAAGCAGCAGTCACTACATTTGCAGATTGAAGCCTTAGCCGATCGAATGGCCGACCATGGTCCGTCTTTCAACATTGTTCGGGCTCCTCTGCATCATCTGTGCAGGACGGGGTGAAGTCTGCCACATCGTGCTGTTGTGTTTTCAAGAGCCGTGTTTCAAGCTCTGCACACAGGATGTGCCAAAAGTCGACGATGTCAGTGGAAGGTCAGTCGGGCTGATGCTGTAATGTGAGCTGGAGTATTGCGCACGTTCTGATTCTGGGAGGACGTTCGTTACGACATCAGCGAGTGCCACACGGGCAAGTCAGGAGGTGGCCTTATCCGGGAGGCCTTCGCTTATGTGGAGCCAGGCATCGGTGCTTTGGAGAAAGAAGTTGTGAGGAATTGGTCACGGACAAGTTGTTGTCCACGTGCTTGTTCATGCATCTGTTTGGATGTACTTGCTGCAGATGGCTTTGCCGTATCGCATGCAGTGTGCTTCATGCCAAGTGCTTGATCTAGTCAACTTTGCTGCTGAATTTGGTTGAGATTGAGAGCCAAGCGGGGTGTGCAAGCTTATGCAAAGACGAGGCAGTTGGTTGGGTGAGTCCGGATGTCGAAGTTGTGGTCCTGGCAGGCATTTGCAATGCCAGCTCATCGGACAGCATTCTTCCTCGACCGAAAGTCGACCTCCCTTGCGATGAACCATGTGATGAAGATCACTACCTCAAGGTGCAACAGCTTCAGCTATAGATCCTTTGCGTGGCTGCGTTGCTACACAGCGGTGAGATGTCTGGAACATGTCTGCTGGAATATGTCCTCTGGTTGCTGATCCGAGGTGACACCTGTCTACAAGCACGGAAACTAGCTCGCAACAGTCTTGGCACGTGATTCATCTGTACTAACGTCGAAACGAGTCGAAGCAGAGATATTGGAATGCCGTCAAATCTCGGCACACCCCATCCCTGTCGCAGTTGACACTTCTGACAGACCACACGACGACAAGGTTGAACAACAAGGGAGGAGGCACGTTTTATATACATGGCTTGGGGCCGCAGGGTAGGAACAGAAAGCATTATGGAGTTTTGAAATTTTCATTGTTGTGCATGATTCGGAAGTGAGTGCAGCTGCAAGTCATTCATGTTTTGCTCCCTTGTGACTCGTGTGATGTGATCTCAACATCGTTCCACATTGCTGTGGTCTAATATGTGGCAGTGTCTGACTTCAGTGCTTATTGGTATCTGCAGTGCGCACATATATATATATATACACACATACAACTATATTACTTTAAGTTCCATTATATTCTGGTATATGGTATTATCTGATACTGTATGATATTATACTCTACTATATGACATCATATGATACTATGTTATATGTTATGATATGGTATTATATGATGTTATATGATGTTACATTGTGTTATATGATGCTATACGGTATGATGTGATATTCTATTTCATTCTGTTGTTATATACATATCTCTGTTCTATTCTATTCGATTCTGTTCTATCATGTCATGTATTATATTTTCTGACACTATGTAGTATAATATATATATATATATATATGTTATATTACATGTTACATACTATACACCACATATTCTATATTATATATTATTTGTTAGATATTTGATATAGTTTATATATATATATGTATATATATATGTTTATATATATATATATTATATATATACATATATTAATATTCATGCATTTATACAGTTATTTATTGGTATATTTGTATATTTGTTAAATATGTATAAGTACATATATATATATAACATGGTACACATAATATTGCATCATATCATATTATATATTATTGTACTGCTTCATACTATATTATATTTTCTTATTTTATCTTATACTATATTACATGTACTGAACACAGACAAGACACGTGTGTGATGCCACATGTAGTTATCTGCACGTATGTACATGTACGTTCCATCCCAGTTACCATTCAACTGTTTATTGTAGATGCTCAGGAAAGCTTCGTTCAGCTCACGGCGAGTTGGATGTTATTTGCAGCCGATGTCCGAGAGGGCGCTTCTCTCTGGGCGGTGGTCGCTGGGCCCTCAGATGAGATGCACGCGGAGACCTAGACAAGAAAGCACCGCCGTGATCAGCGATGCATTACATGCAAGTTCTCGATGTGGCGAAGGCTATGTGGATGGTTCGAAAGGTGACTGGGCCAGGCCCTGCCGGTGACGCACGGGCACGGACACAAACACAGACAGACAAGTTCAGTGAGACCATGGACACGCTTCTCATGCTGACGCAGGTCTTGGACGGAAGGGCTGTCGACGTCGTGCCTTTACCGCGAAGCCGATTCTCGTTCGGGACCTGAGTCCAAACTTTCTGTCCTTCCAAGCCGGTAGATTTCCGGTGCTGGCGCCGCAGCCGAGGCTGGACGGTGGGAGGAGGAGCTCGTCTGGCTTGTGTGCGGATCTCAGCTTCATGTCAGAGGTCAGGCGAATGGTGTTGCACGAAGCTCGCAACAGGTTCTGCACCTGCAACATGATGGCCAAGCCGAAGCGCTGTCGGCGGAGACCAGGTGTGGCCCTTGTTGCAGCCAGTTCCAGTCGTTGCAACTGCTAGAACTTGGGAATCGATCTGAGCTTGTCAGGTCTGGCACCTGGAACCGCAACTTGCCGGACGTTACCTTGGAGGTCTAGCTGTCCATGCAGAGCTCTCACCACTGCTTTTGCGTCCGCGTTATCCTTGTGGAGCCCCTGCTTCGATGGCGGTTTTGGAGACATGGAGCACCTGGGAAGGTGCCCTTTCGCATCATCGACGGATTGGCCTGTGACTCGCTGAGCTGGGGACTGAGTTTGTTCCGCTGGCACGACTTCAGGACAGATCAGTGTAGCTACTAGTAAGGGTTCATGCCAGCAGATAAGGGGGGTTGGGGGCTAGCTGCAACTCGTTCTTTTTTGGCTGTTGATGGCCGATGCGATGGCAGGTAGCCAGGCTTTACACTAGCACTCATTCTTGAATCGCACAGCTGCAAGCCAGGTCTTGTATGTGCTCGTATGCAAGGTGGGGACAGCTCGCTCATCGGTGCCGCAGTTCTGGTTCTACGAGGCGATCCACTGCCTTGAATCAAAAACTGTGCATCAGAAACTGCACAAAAGAAAAAAAGGCGCATCAGAAACAGCGCATCGGAAACCACCCCGCGTCAGACGCTGCGCAGCAGAAACCAGCGTGCAGCAGAAACTGCACATCAGAAGCACGCATCAGAAACCGACGCATCAAAAACCAGCGCGTATCAGAAACTGGAGGCGCGTATCAGAAGCTGCAGTTTGGAAACTGGCGCGGGAGCTTGGAAGCAATGCTGGGGTGGTGAGAAGAAAGCATCCATCGCCCCACCATGATAGCGGCATGGTCCAGTGCGTTCTTGCATAGTCCAAATGCGTTCTGAGCCCAGAGCATCCATGGCCCAACCATGACAACGTCCATGGTCTGATGCATTCTGACAAGAGAGCAACAAGAGAGCATCCATGGGGCGGGTTGGGGCGGTTGGGGGGCCGGGCATGATAACGTCCATGTCTCATGCATTCTGAGCAGAAAGCATCCAGGGCCCAGCCATGAAAATGTCCATGGCCTGATGCGTTCTGACAAGAGAGCATCCATGGGGGGGGGGTGGTCTACTGCGTTCTGATAAGAAAGCATCCATGCACCAACCATGATGACATCCATGGTCGAATGCACTTTCCGAATCAGCCTTTCTAGCTTCCGAGTCATGGCTGTTTTCTGAATCATGGCTGATCTGGTGAATTCAGTCGTTCTGGTTACCGAGTGTTTAGCCGACCCTACGAGGCCAGGGTCCAACAAGATGCTCGATATGTCTGCGAGCACAAGCCTGACCTTCTATGTCTGCTTGCCACGTGCCGTGGAGAGAGAAGGTCTTTATCACCTGAAGGTCAGTCCTTGCTGAACACCATCCGACTAAAATGCCTTTGCCCCTCGAATTGCGCACAGAAGATCTTTGTCGCAGGCACGTGCCCGTTCTCCACCAAAACGCAGCACCTGGAAGCAGCCGGTGCCAAGGTTGGACCTTGAACGACAGCTCTTGATCGTGCATTGCATTGCTACATTCTCTACTGTGCAGTTAGCGAGACGTGATCCAGATTCCACACTGCACTCCCAGTCCCAGGCGGTGATCGTGTACAACAACCTCTACAACAGGCCCAGCCTTGTCTGATGTGATTCCGAGCCTCGAGTTGATCCATTACTCAGGCCGCACTTCATCCCAGCAGCTGCACCAAACAGCGGGTGACTTGAACCTTCAATCACTCGTTCTGCGGTCTCCAAGTTTCGCTACAAGGCACTGCTGCCACAATCCCGATCTTCATGGTCACCAGGGAGGATGGCTGCTTCCTCAGATGCCAACTGCCTCCCTTTTCTGCCCCATGTTCTGGCACTGAATCGAAACGTGACAGAGGAAGAGATCTTTGCATGGATCATGTTGAAGGTGAGCGGATGGTGACCGCAGCGGAAGATGCGGCCGCAGAGGGCGAGGCGTAGCTTTGCTTGAAAGCAGCTCTTTAGCCAAGGCATGATTGTGCGGTTGCCAAACCCCTTCCTAGACTTGGACAAACCCCCGATCTGCATCTGAGGCTGCAGTTCCGAATACCGAGCACTCGGTGCTGCGTTGACAGGACCGGCACCTTCGTTTGTCAGCATACTTTGCGTGAAGTCTCTCCACCTGTCAGGCGGGAGGCCGCGCCGACAACGAATCACAGCGGCCGGGATTCGAGAGTGGGGGAGAGCCGGGGAGAGGGAAGGGAGGGGGGGGGGCGGAGTCGCAGGGTGCTGCTGTGCCTGCTCAGGTCAGAGCTCCGGAAGTTCAGACTCCTGGGAGGCTTCCGAGAAAGGCCAGCGGTTGCAGCTTCTGCGCTGAGACGTGCCGATATGCTCTTGATGTAGGTTGTGCGCTTTGGGCTGCTGACCCTGCGGGCAGCTTCCTGTACTCTGGGGACAACCGGCGCTTCCACTGGGTGTTCTCGTACCTCACGCGCCTCAGATGTTCGTCCAAATTTATCAGGACCTGGGAAGGTCGCAGAGGGACACAGGAAGTCAAAGAGGGACGGAGAGACTTTCCGACCACCGTCGGATACTCCTGTGGCTGGCAAGTCAAGGTATTCAGTGCGCTTCGTCCGCGATGGATACATTCGCTTCCGCTATGCTGTTGATGCAGAAGAGATGCTTGTCTTGAAGTGCGTGGAAAGGAGTGGTAGTGGTTGTCTCGACTTCCGCTTGTCTCGAGTTGGTCTCAGGGGCTATGATGGCCTCATCTTCGAGATGGACGGAGAACCCGCCGGATCCTTTGCGAACGGCTTGTGGATTCCAGAAGACTGTGCGAAGACTAACAAACACCTAAGGTTTGGAATGGATCTGTCCGGTCTCAAGTGGCTCCTTGGCAAGATGTGCGATATCCTGTACCTCGTGGATCCCGCAGTTTTGCGTGGGTCTACAAGAAGGAGCCAGGGGATGTCGTACTCCATGTCTCCCACAACGCCCACAAGCTGCGTGCCGTGCTGCAGGATTTCGGAACGTCATCCGGGGAAGACCGCGCGCGGCTGCAGTTGCTAGAAGTATCAGGCGCGCCGCAAACTTTTATTACTTTTCATGTTCACCAAGAGGGTGCGACTTGTGTAGCGAAGCTGCCCTTGTTGCCTTGTACCTGCCTCTGTCCGCGGTTTCGAGGTACGTCCCATGCCGAGTTTTCATGTCGAAGCTGCTCCGTGCCTCCACTGCACAGTTGCTGTAGTTCCTGTCGGAAAGCCCTGCACCCGGCTGCTCTCCAGGTGCTTAGCAGTCCCGGGAGCCAGCGCTGTCAGACTTGTGGCCGCGACGAGCGCCCCGGTCCAAAGAGGAGATGGCCAGCAGATTCTTGTGGATAGACTGTCATATACTGTCATGCTTCAATATGCTTCAGGTATGCGGAGGTGTGGGGCTCGGGAAGCTCGGGTGCCAGCAGAGAGAGAGGGAGGCCATCGCACAGAACAGAGTTTGTCGTGGTGCTGTTCTGGCCAGGTGCATTTGGACCGCATTAGCTGTCGAAAGTGCCCGCCGGGTTCCTGGGCCCCGGCTGGCAGCGTTGGCAGAGACTCCTGCCAGGCAGCAGCCTTTGCCTGCACAAGCGAGACAGTTGTCCGTCAAGATCATGTCAATCAGATCACGCGACTTCCCGAAAGCGAAGTCGCGTGTAATGTCGCAGTGCTGCTTCACCATGCGTTTGGTGGCCTCTCGCTGCAATCGTACACGTACTTTAGAGTTGCTGAACACGGATTGCCCACTGAGAGCATCGACCATAGGCATGGCTTTTGACGTATTGGTAGCGGTCGTTGTTGATAGGTCCGCCGGACTTGCACATTGCAAGATGTACAGAGCCTCGGCTCGTTCTGAGAGTGGCTGCAAGTGGTCGCAGTGGCTTGACGAGCAACCGCACCGACTACGGGTGTTGACTGCAGGTAAGAAGTGTCCAACTAAGGATCGTCTACCGTGCATGGAATGGTACTGCAGCGCCGTCAGACTCCATCTTTTGCCGTGGACTCTCGGCACACATTCTGGCGCAGCATTCTCCTCAAGCTACACTTGCTTGCCCCAGACGTCTAAGCCCTGCAAAGCTGCACCGAAGCCAATCTTCAAAAAAGCGTGGATTGATGCTCCGGCTAGGAGTTTGCAAGAGGCCCCCCCAAGCTGGAAGCGAACCCAGAGTCAGAGGCAAACACATGCCAAGTCAACACTGTTACCATCTTACGTGATGTTTGCGAGAATTGTGTGCATTCAGAGAACCCTAATCATCTTTGTTGCTGCAAAAGGCGGCAGCAACTGAACTTTCAATAAGCTCGAACTTAATCAAAATGTTTGCCAACGAACACCACAAGACGGGTTTTTGGCCTGTGGGAATGATGTCGAGGTCATTGCGAACAGCAGGGGTGAAGAGGTTAAAACCACACTTTCGGGGCTAGCACCTGCAGGTGTTGTTTTGGAGGACGGTTGGACTTCCCGCAGCAGGTTTAGCAACCGGTTTTGCAAGGGTGTAATGCAAGGATCCTTCCAAACCAGTTTTGTAAGAGGCAGGATTGTTTTGGGAATCCCGGTTAGAGAGGCAAGGACAGGCGATGGTCTCGAAAGCAAAGCGTGAAGCTTCCTGACTCTGAGGTAACAAGACTATGGTGCATGCTCTATGGCGGCAGCCCAAAACTTGCCAGACTACGTCTACAGCGGACGAATTGGCTGGCATAACAGCCAACAACAGGATCCTTGCCTGACCTCGTGTGAACTCGATTTGAGTAGATGCTTGAAGTAGTTTGAATCATTGAAGATCACGACCGTTCAAGGGTCCGTGGCTGCCCAGCCTGCCAGCCGTTTCAATGGCGGCCCCGGGGTGGCAGTTGCGTCACTCGGCTTTTCTAAGGGAAATATGCCTGTAGTATGACACCGTGCTTACAAGCAGTGAACATTCTCGATGTTCTTGTACATGCAAAAGAGAGACATTCACCTTACTACGGCCTCACTTTTGAATTATGGGAAGTGCGTGAACCTCACTGCGAACCAAAAGCAATTTTTGGTCAGATTCCCTGAGGTCCGGCCCAAGGCAAGCTTGTACCGACAAAGAATTCTGCCACCTACCCCGGAACCCTAGCACAGACAGGCAGTGTTCTGATAAGCGAACCCACGCAGGGTCATCGTGACTCTGCTCTGCTAGCAGCTGGCAGCTGGCTTAGGAGAACCGTCCTGCACGAGCTTGCCCAGCGCCAAAGTTTGCGCTGCCAATTCTGCGCCTTCCCTGAATAGAGCCATCAGAGGTGTTGTGTTGATTCCGTGAACATTCGACCGAACTCTGACGTCGAGTTCTTGTGCCGGCTGCGGGTTTTAGTGTAAAGGTTGCGAGACGCATCTTAATCTTTTTTCGGGGCCTGAATCCGGCAACCAAGGAAAGTGAACCGATGGGAGGTGTTCCCTGCAAACTTTACATCTTGGATATGGGGTCGCATCCTCGGAATGAGCGGGCGAACTGTGGAAAGGCATTGGTGCTGGGCTCTGGGCATTTTCAGGTCGTCCATCCGTCGAGGACCAATCGCACTCCTGGCAGCTCGCCCCTGCAGCCTGCATGCAACGTCGTTAGCACTTCGGTTCCGCGAGGGTTGTGGGATGTTTCGGGTTTTGTAGCCTTGCTGGAGGACGGCTCAGCCGTGGAGGTTGGAACGGCCTTCCTTGGAGGCGGCGGTGCAGAAGCGGAGGTGAACAACTGAGCCCTAAGTGCTACGTGATATGCGGTGTTGGCACTGGCGGACAATGTTCAACGAATGAGCCGTCCGAGGCTCTTCTGTCAGCCAGAGCAGATCAAGCCATTCTCGGGCTCGATGCCCCGTGGCTGAGCAGAGTCATGCCAAGAGAGGACGGCAGTGGGCCATCCTGCTGTCATGCCGCTGCATGAAGAAGTAGCTGTCTTGGACGTCCTCACGCTGCTTTGGCCTGCTGCTCGGCCAGTCGCCGTGAGATCGCGCTCGATCTCAGGTGTCCTTGGCCAGCCCCGGTGCGCTGAAATTTACGTTGGAGGAGAAGCCTGTCGGAGCTTGGTCTTCAGCGGGAGCTCTTTATGTGGACCACGAACCTCGAGAGCCACAAGAAGCCGCTTGGTCCAACAACCGAAGCTCTGTTGCTTTTCTTGCTACTTTGCACTGCGCTGTTCACACCATAGCCCGAAAGACCGAGTGTGCATGCCAGTGCCCCGAGCCCGTCCCGACAACAGATCCTGTAAAGATGACGCGACTACAAGTGCGCAGACTCCAGACAAGCTCGAGATAGCACGAGCACCTTATGTATTCCTCGCGAGTCAAACGGAGCTACCCATTCCTCCTGCTTGAGCCTCAGGTTTCTGTCAAGGGAGGACGGCTGCAGTTCAAGCTACGAAGCTCAGCAGCATGAGCCGCAAGGGACACCGTCAGTAGCTGCACGTAGCCAAGCCTGTCCCGCCTGTCGCAGGCATGGAACCTGGATTGCACTGGTTGACGTGGGTGTGGCGCTACACTGGTCCAAAGCTGGAGGAAGTTCACCCTCGCATCAGCTGCGGTCGTGTCGACTCTGACTCGCCGGCAGGAGCAGGCGGCCGATGCCAGCCAGCAGCAGGAGGGAAGTGGCCTCCGGCTGCTCGAAGTCTCCGTGACCAATGCCTTAGGCGCGCGGCCGTGCAGGGCTCCGGGGGGTGGGCCCACTGCAAACACTTCCTGCAGGCGCCAGCCAGTCTGGACCCTGCCGGAGCTGTCCGCCGGGCCGCGGCCTGGTGAACGCCACCGAGTGCTGCGCTCTGTGGTTTCGGCAAAGAGGGCCACTGTGCTTTGCTGTGTCTTTGTTTTTTGGAAGGTGCCGGGCGTGCCCGCCTGGTTGGAGCACAGCCATGGACGGCGGCGAGCCAGTCCATGAAGGTACCGGGGCCGGGAACAGTCTGCAGTGGGTAACCAGTGGGTATTCGTGCTAAGACTCCCTGTGCCTTCGGAGCCGTGTTCGGCGCGAGGCTGCAGCCGGTGTCCGGCCGGCCGGGCGAGCAGCGGTGACCGCGGTGCAGGTTCGCCCAGCTGCAAACCATGCGGCCGTGGAACCTTCAGCGACCCAGGCAAGTTCTTCGCTCGGTGCTTGCGGCCTCTGAGAGGCTTTGCCCTCGCCTTGCCTTGCCTCCAGGCGCCAGCTTCTGCAAGCCGCTGGCAACGTTGGGTGGTGAAGGGAGGCTGCAGTGGAGTACAGAGGCGATCCTGGCTGCCTGGCCGAACTCCTCGCAGACGTCAAGTGGCCTCAGAGGCGTTCAGGTGGAGGAGCCCTGGTTTCCGAGCAGAACAGTCGTCCCCTTTCTGTCACGTTTCTCGCAGAGGCGTGCTAGCTTGCCGAAGATCGGATGACACAAGATGGTTTTGCCTCGTCCCTGACGAGGATCGGACCTACTACGTGAGCCTGCTAGAGCCGAAGCGCTTCCCAGGGATTTCACTGCCCTTTACCAATGCGGCAGCTTTTGTCTGGGAAGTTTTACCCCCCCGAATCAACAACGATGGTGACGCATGTGAGTCCAGTGCCTCGTCTCTGTCGTCTCTGCGACCCTTTGCCGAGACGTTGGAGCAAGTAGTTCCAAACGAGGGAATGCCAGCGGGCCTTTGGCTGAACTTCGCCGGCAGCTGCGAGAGGATGGGAGAGGTGACGAAGCGGGAACTACACATACTGCTGAGTTGTCGTCCAGAAGCACGACGTGACAACCTGGACATCAAGCTTCTCAGCGCGATGCGCCCACCGTCTCCAGGCAAGCGACATGACTCACCTGAGTAGGCCTGTCGTCACAGCTCGCTGTAGTAATCAGAGAGGGCTGTACGCATCAGGTGGCTGTGAGGACCTTGCGCTGGAATGGTCAACGCCTGCGGCGTGTCCTCTCTGCCAAGAAGGCTCCCCTAAAATTTCTCCTGCCCACGGCCGAAGCTGAACACTCTGTGCTTTCGGTCTTATGTTTGGCATTACCGCCTTGACCGCTTGACTAATTTTGCAGGTGACTGGGAGATGACTGTGCCAAACAAGTGCGATCCCGTGAAAGGTGCAGGTAGCAGGGATGCCACGATCTCTGATGCCGGCTGCGCTCCGTTGCGAGGCCAGCGTGTCACCCACGTGGCACCCAGCGGCTGCAGGGGCGGCGTCCCCAAACCGCCGGATTCCTGGCGGCCCTGTCCCGGGGTTCCCGTGGCTTGCACTTGGCCGGCGGGGACTGAAAGGCTCATAGTAGGCTCATTGACACCAGCTCCAGTTATTCTGACTGGGATAGCAAAGGTGATCAATATCCTCGCGTTTGTCATCATCGGGGCGTTAGTTGGGTGCATTCTCTGTTGCCTCAGCTGCTACGTCCTCATCCTCCGCAGGCTGGGACTGTGCTTCTTGCACCGCGGAAATCGGCGGTCACTGCTATCCTATCCCTCGCGGTTGGTGCAGGCGATATGCCCGGTACATGGTGTTGGAGGAGCCACAGGTGAACGGAGTTGCTCCGTCTAGCATCGGAGTTCCTGACAGCCCCGACCCCGACTGGAAGTGAAAAAAATGAGCGCGAAGAACCTTTGCATGCCCTGGCCGGTGCTTTGGGGAACCCAAAGCTGTTTATGAAGAGATGTTTCCAAAGCTGAAAGAGGACCCGGATAATTGTGACAGCACTCTCTGTAGCATGCCCGGAAGATGCTTCTTTGTGACTTCAGAGCTGCATCGAAAGATGCAGACGTAATATCGAGTATAAACGCGACGCCATTGGCAACAGTCGAGCTGGACTCTCAACTCAAAGCCCTAATTACACCGGATTGTTTCCCTGTCCCTGCATCTCATACCAGGATTTGTCTTCTCCTGGAACTGGCTCAGACCAGCGAGCGCAAATTGATTCGGCGAAAAGGATGCTCTCAGGGCAGTGTTGATCCATGCAACGAGGGCTAAGCTGAAATACTTAGCCCTCTGCAGCTACAGGCCCATTTCCTTGCCACGGCATCTGGGTGATTCCGTTTGAGCCGCAGGTTGCTTGCACAATGCAGCCGACTGACCGCCACCTATGTTCGGCTCTGCTGTAGAGCACTGAAGCTTCGCATCCAAGCGTTTTGAGCGTGTCAAGCGTTACATTGTTTCATCTGCATTTCGCTGGAAAGCCTGTTCAAATCTGTGTTTCCCTCAAATGCCTTTGCGAATTCGCCCTCCTCGACGAAGAACTATGCCTTCAAGGCGACGGCACAAACTTCGGGGTTGACGTGGGGATTGCAATGGGGCTTTACTCGCCACATGAGACGGCAAGCTTAAGATACATATGAACCGGAATTGCCAGATGAGGGGGGGTGGGTGTTTAAGATATATGATGTGCCGGAATCTCCAAAGAAGGCGACGCGTTGAAGATGTATGATGAACGCCCAAAACCTAGGACGTCCATTCAGTCTCAATGCGACAAATTCGTCGTGTCGTTCAGCAGCCATGTGCAAAACTAGACGCGAGCAAGGCCAAGAAGCAGCAGGCGCAAGCAGCCGCAACGACGCGCTTTCAAAAAGAAACCCGTGTCGGAGCTTGACAGCAAGCAAAACGGAAAGCGAGATGCTAGATGACCTTCGTAGCAAAACGTATGCAGTTGTCTTTCGCTGTCGAAGCCAGGAGCAGTTAGGGGTCCCTTGGGCTTGAATTAAACGACTAAGCTAGTTGAAAATGTCCTGTGAGCGCGCGGAGGAAAGAGTCCACGGAGAGCTGAGGGGTCGGAAAGCATGTAAATTTGAACACTGGAAACCAGGGATTCTGAGCCCTGGAAGGCAAGCGTCCAGTGGGCCCTTTGGGGGCGGAAGGCTCGGAAAGGAAAAGGTTTACTGGGAGGAGTTGGGGATGCTTTGGCCTCAACTTGAACGACTAAATCACTACTCTGTGCGCTGCGAGGCAGGAATCCAGTGAGCACGGGGGACAGGGTCTAGTGGGTGCTGGGGCGGGGCATGAGGGGTTGGGCATAACTTGGGCACGTATTGACCTTCTAAATCACTACTGTGAAAGACATGTCCAGTACCTTGCTCGAACTAAATGACGAAATCACTACTCTGAAGGACACCGTCCAGTAGTGTGCGCTGGGGCACTGAGGGGTCGGGGGGGCATGAGGGGTTGGGCATGCCTTGGGCTCGAACTCAATGATTCAATCGCTGTTCTGGTGGGCGCTGGGTGCATTCTCTGTTGACTCAGCTGCTACGTCCTCATCCTCCGCAGGCTCGGACCGTGCTTCTTGCACTGCTATGCCCGGTACATGGTGTTGGAGGAGCCACAGGTGAACGGAGTTGCTCCGTCTAGCATCGGGTTCCTGACAGCCCCGACCCCGACTGAAAGTGAAAAAAATGAGCGCGAAGAACCTTTGCATGCCCTGGCCGGTGCTTTGGAGAGCCCAGAGCTGTTTATGAAGAGATGTCTCTCTGTCACCATTGCAAAAGGTCTTGGCTCCAACGGTCCATTTAGGGACTGGTAGTCGGCCCGCGGTCGGGGCAGCCGTGCCGCCGGGCTGCTGGCACGGCAGAGCGCTCAGGGCAGAGTGCAAGCTGACCGCTCTGCCCAGAGCTGGTGCTCGCTGCTCGAAAGTTCCTCGAGGATGGCGGATCCAGGCTCTCCGATGTCCCCTCCCTCGCCGAACCCGCCGTCCTCCAAGGCCGCGGTGTCACTGCAGGATCTCATGTCGGCAGTGGTGTGATCTCGACTGCGAGTTCAGGGCGCGGCTGACTCCTTCGAGGAAAGGCCGACCGTGGCGACCATGAGACCGCAGGAAGCTTAGAGCGACGCGTAGAGCGAGCGGACGCCACCACTGCACACACGAGGCCTAGACCAGAAGTCCTCTGGAAGAAACATGATCGAAAAGCCATGAAGTCGCGGCCCTTGTTGGAGTCCCGTTCGCACGTGGTGGACGTACGTTGCGGGCTTTGCAGGACTGGTCAGCGAGGAACCATCTACTGGGTGGGGGCCGAAGCTGCGCACTGACCGCACTCGGTGAGACGGGGGGATCCTGTGAAGGTTGGCAAACAGATCATCGCAGAGGCAGAGGACTTATGGCGGATTTTCGGGGAAGCGCTCCGTGATCCTTTCAGGATGGCTCCAAGACTGGCCAGGTGGAGAAAGGAGCTAGCTACCAGGGCGAGTGGGATAGCTGCTCGGCGACAGTTTTGTCTCAGAAGATGCTGAAGCCCGCCATCACTTGTGCAGACTTGACCTCATGCCTTAGCTGCATGTGACAAAAGCTAAGACAACGAGAAAAACGGCTATGGCGTGCAGGTTCCCTCTGTGTTTGTTGCCGTTGCTGAGAGGGTGATCGCATGTATCTTCATACGGGCTCTAAAATGCAAACTCGTGCAGTATGCAGGTGTTCCCGAACGGCCAAAAGTATGAGGGCCAATGGGCGAACGGGATGCGGCTCGTGTCTGAGACAGATCCAGCAGTCTGAAGTTTGATGCTGAAGCTCTGCCGTGTTTCCACCAGGAACGGCGAAGGAACTCTTTGGGTGCCTTTCGGCAAGGTGGTGGATTGTCAGGGTTCCGGATGTTGATGCTTCGTGCACCGCCGTCGTGGAGGCGAAGAAGCTTCGCAAGCTGTATGTCGGCGGCTGGAAGAACGACAAGCGACACGGTGGCTCGAAATGCTTTTGATATTCTCATATATTCTCATAGTCTTGCCTGAAGCTGAAGCAGTCGCAGCCGCTGCTGGGCTGGACCACGTAAGGTCGTGGCACGTGCTTCTTCAAGGACGGGCAGTTCTTCCAGGGTGACTGGACCCAGGCCACTGCTGCAAGGATATGCAAGGATCAAAAGCCGATACTCGTAAAGTCGCTCGATTTTCCAGGGCAAGATGAACGGCCAGGGCCTGCTGCGATACAGCAATGGCTGGCTCCTGAGTGCAGTGTGCGGGTGGAGGCTGCGGAACCTCTCATCTTCCCTTGGCCTGCCCAGGCGACTTGTACATAGGCGAGTGGAGCAACGGCCTTCGATCTGGGCAAGGAACCTTGACAAAGGTGCGAGGAATCGAGTGCTGAAGAGCAGGACACCAAGCGGAAGATGCATGGATGCTGGCAGGCAAACGGTGACTGCTACGAGGGCTTTTGGCTCAATGTGCGCCCGTCAGTTCGGTGAAGAAGTTCAACTGAGATGCACAGGTCCAGATGTGCATTAACTGTTCTGTCCCATGCCAGGACAAGAGAGAAGGTAGTGGATCCTACTTTTATGCCGAGAGCGGGAAGGTCTTCGTCGGAGAGTGGGTAAACGACCTGCCCAAGGCTGCAATTGCTGCTTTCGGCATATTCTGACTCACATGATCCTGGGGGGCTCCAGAGACTAGAAAGGCTGCGACATGCCTTCATGTTGTTGTCTGCAGCCCGAATTGCTCAGGCCTTCTCACGCATGTAGCTATGTAGGGATCTCTTGAATGCATGCATGTGGTGAATGCTGGGCATGCACAGCCTTCGAGATGCCACCCCGGCGGATCCAGCCGTAGCCTGCGGTTTCGGCTACGATGTGGACCCGAAGCCCGAATCCCCTCACCAGTCTTGGCCTCTGCTCCTTTCCAAGCTGCGCCTGAGCATCCGAGAGCTGGGAGAACCGCCCAAGGCCCGGCCCCGAGAAGACCTGGCTGCAATATCACGATGTGTATGCCAAGAGCTACAGCATTGAGTTACGATCTTCAGGATGTCGTGTGTCGCCCTGCCAGGTTGCAGATGGCCCGGATGTTCGCATTGCCTCGGTGGTTTTCCGGCTTCTGAAGGAACACCCCGACTGCATCGACCTCTGCGATTTATACCTAGGCAGGCATGGCCAGCAGGTGGAGAGCCTCTGCCGACAAGTGCTGCTACGTGGTCCCTTTGCACATATTGTGGAGGTGGGTGCTGGAAAAGGTCTCCTTGGACGCGTGCCTAGATTCGACGGATTATGGATTTTCAAGAGGGCGGACGTATTCGACACTGGTTCGGGGGTTCTGCATTCGCTTAGGAATCGGAACTCAGAGCCCAAAGCTTCTCAGATCAGGTGCTTCAGGAGCTTATGCCAGGATCCTCTTTGACCAACCTCGAGATCAATTCCGGTCATGGCGGGTTCGACCGTGACGACGCAGAGCGGATCGTTCTTGACGTCCGCGAGTCATCCCGTGTGCTGGAGCTGTTGCAAAGCCTGACATCGGGTCGCATATGCGTCGTGGCGAAGCATCTGTGTGGTGCTGCGACTGATGCACTGCTGCAGACGCTGGCATCTTGCCCGGTGGCGAACGCGATCCTGATTGCTCCGTGCTGCCATTCAAAAATTCAACATCTCGAAGAGTACTCGAATTCAGGCTTCCTCCGTGAGCGAGGCTTCTCAGCCAGTGAGTGGCCGATGCTCATCAAGTTACTCGCTGTGGCACGCTTGAAGTTTGACCAGGATGCTAGTGGCAGTGGCACTGCATCTGACAAATCCTTCAAGAGCTGGCAGCGCACCCCATCTGCAGTGATATGGTGGCTTCTCTTTAGGCGCGTAATGCTGTGAGATTTCGCCTTCTCAGCCCAGGCTGGGAACATACCTTCGGTGGCAGGAAGGCGATGATTGAGATCGGACGTGAGGTGAGACAACTGCTTGAGGCAGGTCGTGCGCGGATTCTCGAGGAGCTGGGTTACAGCACGGAGCTGCTGCAGTACGCTCCTGCACACACCACCTCTGAGAACTTGGTCATCATAGCAGAGAAGCCCACCGTGGCAGTGAGCAGCCCACAAGGCTTAAATGCGCTTCCCAAAGTCGGAGTGCTGCTGGAGGCTCCCAGTGCCGCCGTGCGCGTGACCCAGTTTCTCATGGAAGTCCGAGGGCAGGTTCTGGACAACACGGATGTGCTGCCTTTCTTGGCCGCCTTTGCGTGTTCAGACGACTCAGTGGCGGTGATTGGCAAGGACGTGCTGGAGGTTATTTCGGCTCTTCGTGAGCACGCCCTTCTGATGGTGCAGCTGAGAGTCGTGACTCGAGTCTATCCGTGTCTTGGCTAGGAAGATGAAGCCGTCAAGGGAACTTTGAAGTGAAGAAGGGACGAGATGTTTCTTGTCCTGATGCCTTTGCTGTTTGCGTTTACCCTAGGTTCAGCTTTGCTGTGGGTTCGCTGGAAGAGGTGCCTTTGAAGCCACAAGGACCGGTGCTTGTGAGCTGGAGCTCTGCAATTCCTTGGGTGACTGGCTTCAGGAGTCGAACCACCCTTCCGTTTGGCGGTGTCCCCCCGCGCATTGCTCGACGGGGTTCTTGCCAAGGCAACGGATCAAGGAGACTCAGTGGCACTTCCATCATTTTTGTGACGGGGATTCGCTGATCCTCCACGGCTGAAGGAGTTGAGCTCTCTCCACAGCACTTCAATGCTTCGATATCGGCCAGCAGCTTATTATGGGTAGTTTGGTATGCCCAGGCTCCGTTCGCGAGACACTGAAGGTCCGTCGGCTTTGGGACGGGAGCCTCGGGGTCGCCTGCCTTCCTCGAAGTGTATGGCACCCAGGCGAGGAGCCTCAAAGCTGGCAGCCTGTCAGCAATAATTGTTATATTATATATTAGTATATTATTACGTACTATGATATGACTATAACAATATAGTAATTATTACTATAATATAATAATTATCATTATTTGTCATTACCAAAATGACCGTCATGTGGCGAGTGCAAGATCTTGTCTTCTTCGAGCTTTCTGAAGGACTCTGGGCTCCGACTCCGATGGTGGGCAAGAGAAGAAGCTGTTGTCTTCGCATCGCCTGCGTTTTCGAAGCCCGCCATGCTATGCCAGCAGTGGGGGCTGTTCAGATGACTTTGTTGGTTGCTGATATCCAAGCTTCTCGAAGTCTGGATGTCGGCGCTCAGGACTCCGAGAATGGCAGCAAAGGCTTGGCGTCAGCAGCCCGGCTGCAAGCTGGGGCTTCAAACCCGACGGCGCAGGGAAAGAGGCACCACGTGATGTCCGTGTTGTTTTTTCCAACGTCCGGTTTGTGGAGAGCTCCGAAGCTGGCTATGCTGAATGGTTTCCATACGGAGGCATCATTCGAGCCTGTCGGAATGTGCTCCCTCGATTCTATTTTGCTCTGTGCGTGTGTCTTGCAGCTTTCTACTTTCCATGCCGGAATCCTCACGCCCTGATTCCAACCTGCAAAGGAAGAGCGGACAAGGTTTCTCCTCCGTGTTTTCTCTTGCTACTGCGATCGCAGAAGCGGGCAATGCCCCGACCACTCTCTCGCAGCTCGTGTATCTTGTGGCCAGTCCACTCGCGGCAGCACGGTCGGCAGCTTCTGCTGTGTCCTTTCTTGCGGCCCCAGCAGTGCCAAGTCGGAGCCGGCTTGCACATAAGCCTAGGCCTCCGCGGTCAGCGTGCTCGTGTGCACAGCCCTCAAGCAGAATGGCTACAGGCCCTTCAGATGGAAGGCATCGTTGTGTCAGGACGGCGCCTGTAGTGTCTGCACGAGTCTGCGTTGCAAGCGTGGTTTTCTGACCAGACCCCGCCTGCGTTGGAAGTTTTGCAGGAGAGGTGGATGCCGACGTGCTCATCGTGGACTGCGGGCGCTCGTTCCAAAGAGGTTTCGAGGACTTCAAGCAGAGCTACCCTCAGACTTGAGCTTCCGCTGGTTCATGGTGCCGTCAAGTCACCTGCACAGTCCGGCCTCAGGTGCACCGCACAGATGGCACTGGCTATCGTTCCCGTCGCGGAAGGACGGGGTGGCAGAGCAGCTCGAGCGTCGCAGGTGCTGGTTGAGGCCTCCGGTTTGGACAGCTGAGCATTGACTTCTGGCATATCCGATGTCTCGCGTATGCTTTGTCTGTTCAGGTGAGCAAGGTTGTCGGCAAGATCGGAACTCGAATGAGTGCTCACCATCTCTTGAGCAATCGTGACCAAGAGCGCACAGTGCTTCTGCGCAAGCGACCTGCAAAAAGTGCGCAAGGCTTCGTAGGCCACTGCTCTTTGCCACAGGTTTTGATTTTGCGACGAAGATTGAAATGAAAGTCTTCGGTTCGAAGTATGCCAACCTTCCGGGTACGTAGTTGAGGAGCAACGTATGCTCACCATAGGGTCATCGGGTCCGTGGTGCGAGGGCGACACTGGATAGTCTCATTTGTCGCCGTTGTTGGTCCTTGTTTAGCACTGGACTTGAATCTGTTATTTCGCACAGCCATTCGATAGTGTCCTTGGGCCTTTTGTTGCTGCGATGGGGGCGGCTTTTAGCAGTCATCTGTTGTTTTCCCTGCAATGTCCCGTGTGCGCCTTTGGTCGACTCGCTCATGAATCACTGCTTTTGAGGGCCGGCGAGCTCTTTGGAGCTTGGGTTCTCGGAAGCCGTGAATTGAAGCACTTGGGATCGCTTTGAGGCGTAGGCTCCCGGTCTTCCCACAACTACACCTGAATCCTCTCATAGAGATGAGGAAGTAGTCAAGGCCGATCTTCTTCGGCAAGTTGAAAGTGCCAGGCCGGGGTCTACACGCAAGCGAACTCGAATCCGGAGCAGGCCACGCCGGAGACTTAGCGTGCAGGTGCCCTGGTGCGCGTCCTAGGGCCAGACATGAGTGAGAGTCAGGATAAAAAGAACACGTGCCCTGCCGCGTGTGCAGAAGCGCTGTGTCACTGTGCAATGCTTGGCTTCAGGCCCGTCCCGCAGACTACGATTCTGCCTCCGCTGATGCTGGCCTTCCCCAATGAGGCGGAGTCTCTCTGAACCCCATTAACGCGAAGCCCATTCAGCCGCCGTCATAAGCATCCCTATTCGCCCTATGGTGCCAGCTGAGTTTGCAGTCGTGTCGCAGAAGCAGTGGCCAGGTTCTAGACGGAGCCCTCGCCGCAGTCCGAGAGATGCAGCAGTCCAGCTCCCGGAGAAGTTGTGTTTCATAGACACGAGCACGCTCATAGCAAGATGTGTTCCATTGTCGACTGCATCACGAAACTTTCAACGTGGCTGTGCAGTTTCTCGCCGGACTTTGCCGAAAGTGGGGAGCAGGCCAAGTGCACATCTGCTTCAATGCCTGTCTTAAGCTGGTGGCAAAGCGCCGGGTGAGGAGGTCAGGACTAGTAACAGTTGAGAGCAGCATGTGCAGGTCGACGAGGCAGAGGACGATTACGGCAACGAAGTGGATACGACAAGTAATGCAGTCCGAGCCCACGTGCTAGCCATTCACGCATCGTTGTCGATCCTGCGCTAGAAAAGGTGGGCATAAGCAGAGCTGAAGATACAGGCTCGCCGTGAACCCGCTGCTTTCGAGCAGGGCAGTCGCAAGACGCGACCAGGTTTCATGACAGACAGGAGCCCCACTAGAAGAAGCCACAAAAACAGGGGACGTGATAGAATGACCGCCCTGCGAACTGTTTCACTTGTCTCGTAGATAGAATATTGATACATGTAGCATGTAGACGGATTTTCCTCACACGCATCCGTCGATGGACGGAGCAGTGAAAGAGTCATGCCCTTCACATAGCCATGCCATTTCGACAGCCTACCAGATTGGTGTCTGAAGTTCCATACTCAGTCCGTTGCTGCGCGCAACCATGTCACTATGTCTCACAGCTACGAACCACCTGCGGTATAGTAGCTCTGCAAGGCAAAAGGAGTGCCTTTGCAGAAGTTTGATGAGAACGTTGATGGGTGGTCACACATCCATCGATATGATGTGCGTATCCTGACTACAAGTGTGTCTGTGTCTGGATCTGAAGCTGATCCATTCGTGTTGCAGGTGCATTGATGTTGGGAGTCTGAATGAACATCTGGTTTGTCGTCTGTTTGGCATGTGTGCGCACAGTTCTTTGTATATGCAGTTGTTATGCAATATTTGCAGACCATGTTTGTGTGTAGAATAGATTACATATATACATACCCACACACACACATACTGTATATGCACAGACACATCTACAGTTGAAGGTGTAGTTTTGGACGCATGTGTACACGCCTATTTACATTTACATCTATGCGATCGTACTTATGAAACATACTCGCTCAACATTGTTACAAATTCTTATGCATGCATACATATGAGTATTTACAAATATATACATACATACATATGTGTATATATATATACATACAAATCATATAAATGTATACCTGTAGGTATGTAAGCATGTATACAAAGCATGCAGCTTGCACTTTAGTTTGCAAGTGTTTTCAAGCACGTGGGTGCATACATGCATGTATACGTACGCGCAGCAGTATGACCACTGCACATCTGCATGCATGCACACACACACACGTGCATATATTTATGTATGTATGTTTATATCTATAATATGTATGTGCACGTGTATTTGCATGTGTATTTGTACGTATATGCTGTTGTATGTGTGGAGTCTGTGTATATTTATAGGTATAGCTATAGGCAGAGGCAAAGGTATGTATCCATGTACATATAAGAGTACATGTACAGTTGCGTAGGTGTATGTACATGTTGATGTTTATGTTCCTGGAAGAGCCTAAGCCCTAAACCCTAAATCCCAAACCCTAAACCTCTGAACCCTAAACACCACTCCCTAAACCCTAAACCCTGAAACCCTAAAACCTAAACCCTTTTCTTACAATTTGACTTGAGGTTTAGCCGGCCACAGGACCCCAGACCGAGGCCAAACAGTTGACAGTTTGGGGCCCTCCCTCGGAGGTTTCCCCAAGTGTTTAAGTGTTGAAGCTTCTTGCCCTCGCCGGAAATATTCGGGCTTTCTATATGAGTATATGTGTTCACTGTGCCCCGTCCGGAAGGTGGAAAGTTTTTTTTTTCCACTTTCAGGTTTAATCATTCGTTTCGATCACCAGGCTTGAGCCGTACTTTATCATTTCAACTTGTAGGTTCACTTCCTCGCTCAAATTTAGGGTCTAGTTCTGCTTTTCGTCAACTTTGAGGTTCACCTTGCTTCCGTTTAATGTACTCTCATATGTTCGTTTCAAGTTTCAGGCTTGCTTCATACTTGAATGTCGTTTAAGACTCTGTCGTGCTGTGGCAACTTTCAGGTGTAGGTGAGTCGTACTTTCGTTTCGATCTTCAGGTTCAACTGAGCCTTACTCTTGTTTCAACTGCATCTTGCTTTTGTTTCAAGTTTCACTTTGAGCTGAATCCTACTTTCGTTTCAGTCGATTCACAGTTGACTAGCTCTCACTTTTGTTTCAGTTTCAGGTCTGCTTGAGTTTTTTGTCAGTTGTCAGGTTTAGCTGCAGCTTACACTCGTTTGTATATTCCTTTAACAACTTCAGGTTTACTTGTGCCTTACCTTGAATTCACTTTGCAGCTTTACCTCAGCATTAAGCTCGTTTCAATCTTCAGCTTAAGTTGAGCCTCGCTTTCGTTTCAGCTTTTCTGTTCAAACTCAGCTTGCTTCTGCTTCTATATACGAGAGTTCAGCTTTTCGATTCACGGTGTCAGTTTGAAGTGAGTCGTCGTTTCAATCACTGTTTAAGATTCTGGTATCAAGTCCTGCTTCTCGGGTTCTTTTGCTTTGCAGCTGCCTTCGTGTCACCGGTTTAATCGAGTGTTTCTTTCGTTTCAATCTTCATTTGCTAACTTTTTTTTTTTTTTTGCTGGTGCTTCGCTCTCAGTATTTTTTTGGTTTACTGCTCGGTGTACTGTTGTTGTTGTTGTT